TGTGTGTGTGTGTGTGTGTTTTACCCATCTTGTGAGGACATTAATCTGTTTACATTGTCACATTGTGGGGACTTACCTTTCTTATGGGGACAAAATGCACATCCTTATCCATATCCTTATTACATAATTCATCACATTTTAGGGTGAAGACTTGGCTTAAGGTGAGTGTAAGTGTTTTAGTCTGGTTCTGGTAAGTCTCCAGGAAATAATTGTAAATCAATGTAATGTCCCCAAAAGTCATTAAAAAACCAAAGTGTGTGCATGTGTGTGTTGGTACCTTTTGTTGGCCATGTCGTAGCTGTGACAGCCAAAGCTGACATCACCGCCATCACAACGTAACGCGGCATGCTCTTCGTCTTCATCCTCATCCTCGGGCCGGCTGACCAGAGTGTCTGCAGTGAAGCGTCTCTGTGTCCTCGCTGTGAGGATGTGTGCCTTATATGTGTGTGTCGTCCCCTTTGGAACGAGCTGCAGCTCAAACACTTTCATTTCCTGGTTCAGAGCTGAGTTTCATTTCTGCAGACAGAAACTCCCCTTTAGTTCAGTCCGCTGTCCTCTTCTCTCCCTCTGTTGCTGAGCTCATCTCTCATTTAGATGTACTCAACTTCTGTACTTAAGTACAACTTTGTGGTGTTTAATACTACACAACATTTCTTTGATAACTTTAGTTACTAAGCAAATTCTGATTATTAATACAAAATATGATAAACAAATAAATTATGTATTAATATTATATAATTATATAATATATAAAGTTATTAAAATGTCCTTTACCAGCTGCAACATTACAGAAATAAACAATGCAGTCGAATGCATCAATAATAATAATACATTTATTTTAAACATTATTTAAATGTAATATGTATTTATTCATATTGTATTATTGTTATCATATTGTAATCTAATAATAAAAAATATTGGATTATCAGATTATCCAATCAAATTACTGTGTATAAATATTAGTGCTGGGCAACGATTAAGATATTTAATCGCGATTAATCGCATTGTTATGGCAAAGTTCAATAATGAATTCAAAAGTAGTGTATTGCGCACTTTTATTTTAAAAGTACTGCTATATGAACAAAAGTGCAATAACATTTGGTTCACGAGATGCAGGTAGCATGTTTTATACTTAATGTGAATAGAATTCATATTCATACTTTGTTGGCATCTTATTCTGAAAACCGGATGTTTGTCTGAAGAAACAAGATGTCTCACATTAATCTTTCCGCTAACTTTCAAAGTCCTTCGCTCGCTCCCGATCTGTGCCGTTTAAATGCGTTTACCGTGAATTTCAGCATATAGGTGCACTAACATGTAACATGCGCGCACACACACACACACACACACACACACACACACACACAACTGACTACAGGATGTTTGCTGTCTTTTATCCCACTGTTCATGTCATCCTCTTGTTATGTCTATGTATTGTCTCTTGTCTTTCAATGAAAAAAAAAATAAAAATAAAAAATTTAAATGCATTAATGCACGATAAAATAATTGTCGGCGTTAATTAATGAATGCGTTAACGCGAAATTAACGCGTTAACTTGCCCAGCACTAATAAATATATATTTTATTCTGAAATAGGCCAAAAAATAGTTATTTTATATCTTTTAAGATCTGAGTACTTCTCCCTCTACTGCATGTAGGAGAGGAGTATATTGATCTAATGACTTATCAATACCGATCAATACCACCGGCTGTGGTTGGGCTTTGACCCTTCAGACCCTCCACATTATGTTCTGTGAAGCCGCTGGCTGCTTCACAGTAAAAGTGCTGCTGTGTTTCGCTGAATGCTTTTATTATGAAGAAGCTGAAGTATCATTTGTGTTGGTAGTTAACTTACAACAGAGTTAGTGGGGACTAGATCTTTAAAAAATACAGGAATGGAATGTAACTAAGTACTCAAGTGCTGTACTTAAGTTTAAATTGAAAGTATTTCTTGAGTATTTTAATTGCATGGAACTACTTTATGCCACTGAATCCCAAATATTATACTTTGTACTCCACTACATTTGTCTGACTTTAACTTTACTTTACAGATAACACTTTTTCATCCCCCTCCACATATTTTCTAGTTTGGTGAATTTGAATGATTCTGATAAACTGAACAAACAAAACAAACATAAAACGATCCGCCAGTAAACCAGACAAGGTTTTGCAATAGACGGCTTCATGGAGTATTGCACAATCTACATGGAGGAAACCAGCTCGTCCAGAATGACGGACCACGTGATGATGTCTCGCTCTGCTGTGATTTCCCTGAACCACAAACACACCACAGTCTGTGTGACAGGTGTCATGTCCTCTGTAGTTCCTCTCTGTGAGTTTGAGTATAAAGATCTCAATGTATAATAAAACACAAGGATTCCGTGTTTTCTTTAGTCCTTGTGGTGTTGAGAGGGCTTTGAAACAGCTTTTAGACTTTCATGATGCAAAATTAATTGTGCAGAAAATATAAAATGATAAAACTTGCAGACACTTTGTTGTGGAGGTTTGAGATGGTTTCGTTGGCGCTGTGTGTGTATGTACTTCTCTTTTCACTGACAGACACCACACACAATATACAAACCGCTGCTAACCAGAACTAAGGTTAACAGTATATTAACAACTCGCTGTGTCAATAAGTCTCAGTCTCTCGGTTCCTTAAAAAGCATCATTTCACAGGTGGATCGAGCGTTTTGCATCGGCCGGGACAAAGTGTGTGATAATCTGATTAAACACACATTTGTTTAGGAATATGCACCATGTCGTCATGATAACAGCTGACTTATTAAAGCTAGAGTTTGCTGAAACTGGAATTTAAGATTCAACAAGTCTTCCAAAAGTAAACCACGAAACATGTAGTTTGTTGCTGTGATGCGCAACGAATCAGCAGGACGACATCATGTGTCAGCGGCCTTCATACAACAAAAAAAAGTTTTAAAAAATTAATAAATTTGGCACAGCTACGGTCAAGAGTCTGTATCCAACTATTTATTGACCAGTTACTGTTGGTTTGTTTTACAGTTGTTGTACTAAAAAGAGATTTAAACTGTTGTTGAGGTGATGATCTGTTTTTGTGAGGTTGGACACAGCGAGGCTAGCTGTTCCCCTCTGTTTCCAGTCTTTGTGCTAAGCTAAGCTAACAAGCTGCTTCATCTTTGCCGGACAAACAGGAGAGTGGTGTCAATCTTGTCATCTAACTCTCTGCAAGAAAGCGTGTTCCCCAAACTGTCCGAACACTGTCTGTTTATAAATACAGTTTTATTCCTCTGGTTTTTACTTCAGTATAAGAGTTGACTTGTTTGTTTTATTATTTTATGGTCCTTTGTCTATTAACCAGGTCTTTGTGTGTTTATTGTCTTGTTTTTAAATGTGCTTTATAAATTAATCTGGATCAGAAATGTCAAACATTTAATTTACAATGTGGTTATTCACAAAAATTACTCATTTCGAGTTTTGGGGCAAGACCATCGGCATGGTTAAAATAAACCATTGTTGACCTTCGTCTGGAAACAGGAAACAAACTGACAAGCCACCTGGATAATGACGTCACAGCACTTCCTCTTTTGCTCCCAGCACGAGAAGTTACGACAATAAAACAAATGCTGACAAGTCAAGTTTATCTATACAGCACATTTCATGCGACAGGAGAAGAATCAAAGGCAAAAATCATCACACATGACAAAACATATGAGATAAGATACAATCATGAAGGTTATTACTTATATAATACAATTTAAAGGAATACTAATATTAATAATAATGGATCTCAGGAGGGAACTTGTTGACAAAGATGATCCTGCCCACTGAGACATGTGAACACAGACTGCGTCAGTTCTGCCAACAACAACAAGAAGAAGAGTTAGAGCAACACTTCCTGCTGTGCTGCAGGAACCACAGTCATGCTTTCAAAATAAAACTCAAACAATAGTTCAACACTGTTTCAGACCAAAACTAAACTCAGTATTTACTTCGAGGAAAACTGACTCTGACATAAAGGCAGCAACTCTTCTTTAGTTGTTTTTTTCTATAATTCTTATCAATGCTATTAAATTGCATCTATATCTGATCTTATCAACCTATTACTTTCTTTAATTTGTTAGTTTTTACCCAATTTGGGGATAATATGTTTCATTATTCATAGAGCAGTATAGAAAAAAAGGGGGGAACGTAAAAGTAATTGATTTAATTATAGTTTACTATGTAGTACAGTGATGCACGTGGAGTATTTTATATGATGCATAGCGTATGTTGTGTAGTATCTGTAAACCATTTATTTAACTACATTCTTAATTATTACACTGACTAACTTTGTACAACACGGCACTTAAAGCATAAGTCTGGTGTTATTATATTCTGTCTGTTCCTACTGAAGACCTAAATCATTAAAAAAGAAAACATGCAGAAATAGATTCATTTCTTTTTTAAGTGCTCAGTATTTTCTTAAAACAGCTGGTCACTGTGGTTTTTAATAAACGTCAATCAAACAGAAAGAAATAGTGCATTTGTTGGGGACTATTTTCAGCTGCGGATGAATCCACATTTGTATGTGGGATTGAGTCAGAAATATACTACAGTGTGTGTGTGTGAGTGTGTGTGTGTGTGTGTTAATAATGAAGGAACATGTCACCCAGTGAAACCAGTGTGGCTCACGTCAGAGGAGATTCAACAAGCTTTATTTTGAAGGCGCGCCTGTGAGCGGAAGTAGTGGTTTCCCGATGTGTTCTCATAACAGCTGTGTTGCAGCCGCTGCCAGCGTGTACCGCGCTGACAGCAGCCGGGATGACACCGTGGATAACACACACACACACACACACACACCGCTGCTCTATAAAACAAGACACACACACTCTCACAGACACAAACACCGACAGAGACACAACGAGCTGGTTGAAACTTTCTAACAATGGGCGTCATCATCTCACACATCTTCTCCAGGTTCATCTCCAAGACACCTGTCAGGATTTTAATGGGTGAGATTATTATTATTATTATTATTATAGTGGAGGTAGTTGTACCTTTTTCTTGCCCTTACAAAAAATAAATAACCAATATGTTCTTATAATATTACAAAAACAGCCTGATGTCAAATTAATTGCCGTTTTGTCTGATCTTATTTATTTATATTAAAATGTTCAATTATTTTTATATAATTTTATTATTCTTAATATTATTCTTAATTTTCGGCTTATTTTTTATATTTATTGTTTCTTGTGTGCGTTGTTTTATTTTATTCCCTTATTATTTATATATTTATGTACTTTTCTCTTGTTATCAGCTCCCGTGTATTGCGTTGTGTCCTCGTTTGTGCCTGACGTGATATGTACAATTATTTAACAGCTTCAGTTACTTTATTTGTTTATTTTTTTTACACACCAGACATGATGAGTTAATAAAATATGGTGTTTTGTTAATGATTAGTCGATTAATCTAAACTATTCATCACCATACATCGCCTTTTTTTCATGCAAACACCTTTAGTTTCATTATATTTTCCTGAATATATTTAAGACAACAAACATTTTCAATGCTTCACCTTTACTAGAAACAGAGTATTTTCAGAGTGTGGTATTAGTACTTTTCATGAAGTAAAGGATCTGAATACTTCCTCCACCATTATAATTGACATTACACTTAACATATTAAGACTTTCATGTACAAATGATATGAGTTTATAAAACACAACAAATAAGTAATAAAATAAAATATATATAATAAACTACCCAACGGTATATTTAAATTAAATTAGTTCCACCAAATAATACTTGTGCTCTTTGAGTGAGGTGACTTACTTGTTATGTAGTATTTTTATACTGCATTTTTTACTTACAGTAAGGAAAGGCTCTGAATACTTCAGTACCTCCAAAACTGTTCTGAACGGATCTTTGTACACTTACTATTTTTTTAGTTTTGACAGTTTGTCAGACAAAGCAAAACATTAAGAAAGTTTTGTAAGCATTTTTCACTGTTTTCTGACATTTTGTCCGTTTCTGTGTGTGTGTGTGTGTGTGTGTGTGTGTGTGTGCGTGTGTGTGTGCGTGTGCGTGTGTTGCTGCAGTGGGTCTGGATGCAGCAGGTAAAACCACTCTGCTGTACAGACTGAAGCTGGCCGAGGTCGTCACCACCATCCCAACTATTGGTCAGTGTTTACATTAAAGCACACGCTTAATGAAAATATAAAATAACACAAAACAAAACCATAACATAAAGTGTGTGTGTGTGTGTGTGTGTGTGTGTGTGTGTGTGTGTGTGTGTGCAGGTTTTAATGTGGAGACAGTGGAGTACAAGAACATCAGTTTCACAGTTTGGGATGTTGGTGGTCAGACAATCATCAGACCTCTGTGGAGACATTACTTCACTAACACACAGGTACTACTACTACTACCACTACTACTGCTACTACTAATACTACTACTACTACTACTGCTACAACTTCTACTATTATGACAGACTCACTAAAAGTATTTTAATGAAGCATTTGTATTGATTCTGTCCGTCCGTCTGTTTCGTCTTCAGGGTCTGATATTTGTGGTCGACAGCAACGACCCCGAGAGGATTAAAGAAGCTGCTGAAGAGCTTCACAGGATGGTGATTAGTTCACAGCCGTCTGATTAAAGCAGCAGTTGTAGTACCAACAGTACTGCGACTGTAGTACACAAGATGTCACTGATTGGTTAAATGTCTGAACATATTTTTTGTATTGTTTTCGTGTCGCAGTTGGAGGAGGACGAGCTGAGGGGCGTGGCCTTACTGGTGTTTGCCAACAAACAGGATTTGCCCAGAGCCATGTCCGTCAGTGACATCACAGAGGCTCTGGGCCTATCAGGAGTCTCACAGCCGGTAGGTGTCCGTGGCATGTATATGTACCCAATCCCACAATGCAATGTTGTGGTGGAGCGTAACCCTATCAGGCGGCAAACTCCGGTTCTGCCGAGTGAAGCCGATGCGAAAGTGTCTTAAAACCTGCATTCTCTCTACTGTCCCCCAGGGGGCGACTCCTCTGGTCGCATAGCAGTCAATGAGAAAATGACTCTACTTGTCTCTTGATTTATTACCTCAGTAAACATTGTAAACATGAGTTCATGGTCTCAATCTCTAGTTTCAAGTCTTCTTCAATACATCATGATGTTCAGAACATAAAGCAGGGTATGGGTGAAACAAAGTTGTGAATTATCTAACGTATATCTTTGAAATGGTTAGTTTAACTATTGAAGATGATATGAGGTGATGTGGAAATGGTCAGGAACGCTCATTTACGAACTCACCTGTTGTTAATTGGGTCACAACGGTCCCCAGAAATAGGTTTTGCAAACACTAAACTAAGTCTAAACAGTTTTTTTAGACTGAACTACAGGACACAGTGAGTTATTATTCAATCATTGATTGTAAACTACTCTGTGTGTCCGTGCAGTGGTTCGTCCAGGCCTCCTGTGCCGTCAGCGGGACGGGTCTGGTCGAGGGTCTGGACTGGCTCTCAGACCAGATCTTGAAACGGAGGACTCTGATGTGAACGAGCTCCGGGCGTACCTTGTTTCCTATTGAGTCAGGCGGTCTGGTGGACTGAGCCGAGCCGGTGAATCCAGGAGGACCATGAAGGATCCCTCTGAATTAAAAAGACAGCGTGTTCACTTCCTGTAGATTCGTAAAAACACTCACAATGTAGAGTTTGAGCCACATTCAGGTCAGAACAACATATAAAACACGGGGAATGTTGAGTATATAAAGGTATTTTCATACTTTCTATTTGAATTGTGTTGCCTCAGACTGCTGTTACACTGCAGTGAGCGGTGTGCAAAGCCTATAAAAGTATTCCTACATGTCCTGCTCACTTTATATTTTAACTTCACAAGACTGGAGTTAATGTATTTCTGTTGTTTTATATATTTATGGTGAAACCAGACGGTTGATAGAACAAACATCACGATAATGTATTGATTATATAAATTCTGTACAAACATAGATTCATAAAACAACACTGCAGAAGTCAAAGCTTTAAAAGCGTCCTAAACTCTATTTTATTTTGTGTATCAGAAGTCTCTGGTGATGTTCAGAACTATTGTTTCAGGTGGATTATCTTCACGCACTGATTTTGTTCATATTTTCATTGGTTTGATGATTATTTTTCCACAGATGTTGATATTCAGTTCATGTTTGCTGTCATTAGTGATTTTACACTTGAAATAAAGATATATTTAAATCAACTATATATTTTCAGCAGTTATTTGATGCTTTCTGGGTAATCAGTTCAGATATTTCTGTCACATTTTGGGCTTTTCAATTTTCAGTCTTTATAAAAATCTATATATTTCTTTCTTCTTTGGGGGTTATTTTGCTCATATATATTCTAAAATGAAGTTGCTTTGGTGGCCAGTTTTTACTAGAATTTAAATGATCATATTACCTCTGATTTACAAGATGCATCACAGTCAGAAAGCATTCATATTTCTTTATGTTGCAGCTTTATGATAAAATCTTCTGAATACATTATTTTCACCACTCAATACTCCACAATAACAAAGTGGAAACAAGATTTTCATTTTTGCAGGATTAAGAAAAAACTCTTCAGACACTTTAAATTGATCTCAGGTGTTTCTTGTTGATTAGAGACCACCTGTGGTCAATAATTCAACTGATTGGACATGATTTGGAAAGACACACACACACACACACAGCTGACAATGCACATCAGAGGAAGCTCAGAGAACAGGATCGTGTGGAGACACAGATCTGAGGAAGGCTGCAGAAACATGTCTGCTGCTTTGAAAGAGCTCAGTGGCCTCCACGATTCTGAAATGAGAGAGAAGCTTTGGAACAACAAGCCAAAACTGAGCAGTGTTCATGGGGGAGAAGGGCCTTCATAAGAGGGAGAAACCTCCAGAAGGACAACCATCGATCACCCATCAGGCCTTTATGTCTGAAGCCCCTCCTCAGTGACAGACACATGAAAGCTGCTTGGAGTACAGAATCACCTAAAGAGTGCGAGAAGACTATACGGGACCACGATCCTCAACACACAGCCAACACAGCGCATGATCGGCTTATAGGGGACGACTGTGTGATCGTCCTCGAGGGAAAACCAGCAAGAACCGGGACGTGAGACTCATCCAACATCTCTGGAGAGATGTGAAGAACCTGACGGAGATCTGCAGAGAAGACCGGCAGGAAATCCAAGTATAGGTTTATCTGTGGACACACAGCAGCTGCAGGTTTTAGGGTTAGGGAAGGAAACGAGGAGGGGAGAAGTTGTGATCTAGATTATCCTAAGAAAATCCCAAAATCCAGATGTGCAAAGCTTCATACAGAAGAAGACTCGATACCTGCGTGTGATATTTCAGTTTCTTCTCTTTAGTACATTTGCCAAAGATTAAAATAAAATCCTGTTTTCACTTTGTCATTGAGTATCTAATGTAGATCTATACGTGGGGAACATTAATTTAAATGACTTTAGCATCCAGCTGCTACATTACAAAATGTTAAGTGCTCTGGATACGTTCTGAATGAACTGCACATCTGTTGCTGCTTTTTGAGAAATGGAAACAATGTCAACGAATTTAGAATTAACTCGTACATCTTCATGTTGAGTCAGCTGTGTTGAGTGTGAACTTATTTAGCTAAGAGTGATGGATAACTGGTTGAAATATCTGTATTTTCATATTCTTTTTATATATATATATATATATACAGTTGTGTGAAAAAGTGTTTGCCCCCTTCCTGATTTCTTATTTTTTTGCATGTTTGTCACGCTTAAATGTTTCAGATCATCAAACAAAGTTAAATATTACACAAAGATAACACAAGTAAACACAAAATGCAGTTTTTAAATTAAGGTTTTTATTATTAAGGGGAAAAAAAATCCAAACCTACATGGCCCTGTGTGAAAAAGTGATTGCCCCCCCCTGTTAAAACATAAATTAACTGTGGTTTATCACATCTTTGGAAAGCTGAGTTCAATTTCTCTAGCCACACCCAGGCCTGATTACTGCCACACCTGTTCTCAATCAAGAAATCACTTAAATAGGACCTGCCTGACAAAATGAGGTAGACCAAAAGATCCTCAAAAGCTAGACATCATGCTGCGATCCAAAGAAATTCAGGAACAAATGAGAAACAAAGTAATTGAGATCTATCAGTCTGGAAAAGGTTACAAAGCCATTTCTAAAGCTTTGGGACTCCAGCGAACTACAGTGAGAGCCATTATCCACAAATGGTGAAAACATGGAACAGTGGTGAACCTTCCCAGGAGTGGCCGGCCGACCAAAATTACCCCAAGAGCGCAGCGACGACTCATCCAAGAGGTCACAAAAGACCCCAGAACAACATCCAAAGAACTGCAGGCCTCACTTGCCTCAATTAAGGTCAGTGTTCATGACTCCACCATAAGAAAGAGACTGGGCAAAAATGGCCTGCATGGCAGAGTTCCAAGACGAAAACCACTGCTGAGCAAAAAGAACATAAAGGCTCGTATCAGTTTTGCCAGAAAACATCTTGATGATCCCCAAGACTTTTGGGAAAATACTCTGTGGACTGACGAGACAAAAGTTGAACTTTTTGGAAGGTGTATGTCCCATTACATCTGGCGTAACAGTAACACGGCATTTCAGAAAAGGAACATCATACCAACAGTAAAATATGGTGGTGGTAGTGTGATGGTCTGGGGCTGTTTTGCTGCTTCAGGACCTGGAAGACTTGCTGTGGTAAATGGAACCATGAATTCTGCTGTCTACCAAAAAATCCTGAAGGAGAATGTCCGGCCATCTGTTCGTGACCTCAAGCTGAAGCGCACTTGGGTTCTGCAGCAGGACAATGATCCAAAACACACCAGCAAGTCCACCTCTGAATGGCTTAAGAAAAACAAAATGAAGACTTTGGAGTGGCCTAGTCAAAGTCCCGACCTGAATCCGATTGAGATGATGTGGCATGACCTTAAAAAGGCGGTTCATGCTCGAAAACCCTCCAATGTGGCTGAATTACAACAATTCTGCAAAGATGAGTGGGCCAAAATTCCTCTACAGCGCTTTAAAAGACTCATTGCCAGTTATCGCAAACGCTTGATTGCAGTTGTTGCTGCTAAGGGTGGCCCAACCAGTTATTAGGTTTAGGGGGCAATCACTTTTCACACAGGGCCATGTAGGTTTGGATTTTTTTCCCCCTTAATAATAAAAACCTTCATTTTGTGTTATCTTTGTCTAATATTTAAATTTGTTTGATGATTAGAAACATTTAAGTGTGACAAATATAAAATAAGAAATCAGGAAGGGGGCAAACACTTTTTCACACAACTGTATATATATTACTAATTTCATTAATTTACTTTAAATTCTCTAATTACAAAAAGGCATCATTTTACTATAATCATAGTAGTTAGGACAAGATGCTAACCACCAACAGGTTCGCTTGATCTAAAAACAGACGGACTCAGGCAGGTGGAGTTAGTGCTTTTTATTTATCACTGAAAAGCCTTTTTTTAGTTATCATTTGTGACACAAACAATTATCACTGAATCATATTTACAGTTCAACATCGTTCCCGTTTATTCCTGCGTCAGTAAAGTGCAGCTTCTTCAACACGAGGTCTTCACCTGTTTACAGCGAGAACACATCCTCCCAAAATAAACGTCATCAGTAAATGTTGATTTAGGCTTTTCAGAAACATCCTCTTCATCGTCCACCACAGGAGGCTGTGACCTCTGACCCCTGATACAAGATTAATGAATAAAATCTGTGAACAGAAAGCAATCCCAAACAAATGACACAAACTTTTTCTTTTGTAAAAGCACAGATAAATATTCAGGAGAAACACGCTGATTATTTGGTTAAGTGTTAAAAATGTTAATTTTCTTCAACCAGCGAATCAGAAAAGTCTTGTTTCAGTTTTTAAAATAGAGAACTGTCGACAAATAAGGCCGAAGTGAGGTCATTTGATCAGATTTGTGCTTTTGTTGTTTATCTTAACGATATGATATAATACAAGATTATTATTATTAATGAGCAATACTTTCATGCGTCTATTCATTTTGTCGGAGGCAGAACTTACAGATATGTGAAAAGAAAAATAATCTTAATATGAAAAAATTTTCATTATCAGATTTTTTCAATTCTGTGGTTTCACAACATCCAGGTTTCCTGTGGCGGCCATGTTGGCTTCGTCCCGACACGCACGCACGCACGCACGCACGCACGCACGCACGCACGCACGCGGGACGCTGGACAAAACGAATTTCCGACAATTCCCCCAACAAACACAGAAAAGGTGAATTCTGAGACATAAAGTTATGATTTGCTTTGGAGGATTTGATCCACTATGATATGCTGAATGCTGCTGGATATTTCAGTGGTTCATATATTTGTTTTTAAAAGAACCGATAATTTTGTCTTCAATAAACAACTGTAACAACAAACAGTAAGTGTGTTAATCAATTGTAAATCTTTGAGTGTTTTAACTTTAAGATATTTAGTTTGACACGAGCACGCTTTGTGGATCTGAACATTTTCTATGTTTTATTTTGTTTTACATGGAATATAAATCATTTTTAACCTGCAAATCCACCAGATCCTGACCGGATGATATGTGTAATTGACCCGCTGCCTTCGGTTCTTCTTAATAAACTATTGATGAACTATGAAAATCAGCTGTCAGAGACTCAGAGTGTTGATCCCTGATGAACGGAGATTTCACGCTTCATCACTCTGATGTGGTCATGATGATGATTAACTTACTGAAACAGTCAAAAGTACGCACAGATTCTCACTTAAGAAGCTGGAACCACGACTGATCGATCATTTAAAATAGCTGCAGATATATTTTCTGTTCAGATTGATCGACGTCTCGTTTAAAGATTTTACAAGAACGAGTGAAAACCAGTGACTGTCTGGAGGGAAAGATGCTTTTTAAAGGAATGCAACACTGCAGGATGCTTCTTTTTTTAAATGGTCAGGAAGAACAGGAAGTACTCTTCAAAATAAGACTCGCCTCTTCGGCCTTCGTCTTTTTGTTCTGTAATCTCGGGGAAACCTTCACCTCCGAACTGTCTCACTCTGACGTTTGTCTCCGTCTGATCCTCGCTCATTAATCTGCACATGTTGCTCTTTAACTCCTCCGTCATTGCTTTAACTTTTTCTATACATTAAACAAACAGTAACTTGCAGGTTAAATCTATACGTGCGTCCTTTTCTGGAGAGCCGGTATAAAAAGCGTTTCTTTTTTTTTTTTACACACAGAATAAAAACAAAAGTCTGACGAGACATTTCCACTCATACTGCCCTCCTCTTTTTCTTCTTCCTCCTCCTCCTCTTATAGTGAGGGTGCCTTTAGTTTATCCTCCAGCCAGAGAAGGAGCGCATGTTTTTCAGTCGCAGGCAGCCCGGGCGGGCGTTTGTTGTTCCCCATCCTCTGACTCCTGAGCTGGTAAAACATGGCTTCGTCAGGCTTCAGACTCGCCGTTCTTCTTGCCCTCCTCCCCGGCATCGCTGTCCTCCGATTGGCTGTTGCTGAGCACCAGGAATTGTCCGTCGGCAGCGGGTTGGTTGGGGGGGCGACTCGAGGCGGCGATCAAGCGGCTCTGCTCCTCCAGATCCTGGAGAAAAAACGACCAAGTTAAATATGTTGAAATATCTAATATTACTTGATTATAATTATTAAATCATTATGTGTTCATCACTTTAATGTTGCAGCTGGTGGAGCTCATTTTAATTACTTTATATACTGCCGGGTAGTTTAATCTATAATTTAATGATTTATATCTCAATATGCAAAGTAACTAAAGTTATCAAATGTATTTAGATTATAATTAAAACTGATAAACTAAACTGAAGAAATGTTATCTTTGGGTTTCAGACATTTCAAGACGCAAATTGTGTTATTTTTCAAATGAATAATTGTTAGTTGGAACTCTTGATTATTTCAGGTAAAGATTATAAGGATTCATCAGCAAAATCTGCTTCTACGATAAAACCTAAATATATCTAAAGCACACTGGGCTGGGGTTAAAGGTCACCTAATGTATTAGCTAAGAGTAAAAAGAAACTACAGCTGCACCCTCCAACTATTTGACTTGCAGTACTTCCTGTCGCTGCCCTTATAAAGTACGACCTGTTGAAAGCAGAATGCAAACAAGTCACAACATTGCTCCTTGAGCTTTGACCCTTTTGCTGATTTACCCGTCGGCTTCTGTCAATAAACTCGTCGGACTGCTGTCTCTCTCTGACCCAAAGGATTGTGGGTCAGAACAGCCAGAAGCATGCTGGTTTGCATGCAGCAAAATGGACGGGATGTAGTCGGACATCCTGGTATTTTTTGGCACACTACGACCGTAATGTCTTTTCCTAACCACTTGACCATAAACTCATGTTTACAATGTTTACTGAGGGAATAAATTCAAGTGAGAAGTCGTCATTTTTTCATAGACTTCTATACAATCTGAAGTCTGTCAGGAGTCGCCCTCTGCTGGTCAGTAGAGAGAATGCAAGTTTTAAGATTCTTCCTCATCGGCTTCACTCAGCAGAACCGAAGGTTGCCGCCTGGTTTCAGTACAGGGGACGAGTGAGGAGTTAAATGTTAAAGATCACCTTCTCTATCTGCTTCTGTTTGCTGAGCTCCTCCTGCTGTTTCTCTTTAGCCTTGTCGTGCTCCTTCCTCTTCTCCACGGCCTTCCGGTCCTACACAACAACGAGACAACCAGAATAAATTCACCCGAAGACACCGGCTCTAAAACACTGAGTTAAAGTTATCAACCCGTCTCACCATCTCGGAGTGGAAGGCTATCTGCTTGGCTAGGCCGACGCTGTCGCAGATCTGAAACACGTGAAGAAGACACATGGGGGGTGGTCAGACAGACAGACAGTTTGTGGACAGTGAGACTAACGAAGAGATATACACGGAACAACCTTCTCTCCGTCGTTGTTGGACTCGAAGATGTAGCCGACGGCTCGGCTGTCAGCCGGCCCGTCCGCCGACTGCAGGACGAACCCAAACAGCCTCTTGTTGTCCTGATGGGACGAACACCGAACCACGCTGATGAGAGGGAACTACAGGAGGAGAGAGGAGAGGAGGACACGAGGGAAGGAAAGAGGGGACGCATCAATAGACGGAGACTAAAGCTTCCTGAGCAGAAGACGTGAGCAGAGATCATCTCACCCTGAGTCGAGTGACTTGTGTCTGAGGATCAATGAGTCTGAAACGAAAAAAAACATTGAAATCAAAGACCTTTTATTGAACAGAGACTTTACAAAAATGTGTTCATTAATAACGTCTCCATAATGTTATAGTGAATTCTGTCCTGCTTGATCTCAATGATAAACCAGCCTTTTTGTAGAAAAAGATTTCCCAGTATGCAGACGCCATATTTATGTTTTAATTTCACATTTAAAGTCATTTTTTCATCTACATAGTACGACGGTGTATTTGGGTTATTTAAGGTTCCTCTTGTGACTTTTGTCTCTCAATGATACGTGAATCTTACTTGAGGCAGTCGCAGGTGACCAGCAGGTGCGACTCTGTCATCCTGAAGATGTTGTGGATGGCTCTGGCTGCCAGGATCTGCCTCATGGTCTCAGGGATGACTTCCGCTGACTCGGCGGTCCTCACCTCCATGGAGCCCAGGAAGCGAACGATGAAGAGCTGGTGGAGGATCGAGTCTGGGCGATAAAAATGTATACCGAAGTCTGAAGCGGTCTAATGAAACCAAAACACTTCTGATAGATCATAATTCTCACGTTTGTAATGTTTGTCCAGGTATGTTTTTAGGTGAGACATTGTCTGTTCTGCCCCTGTGGCGATGAGAGGAATAACACCTAATACTACCGCCAACTATAGTTAAAGTGGATGTTTTCATCCCCTGTCCACAAGGGGGCAGCAGTGAGCCAACTAAGGTTCATCCCACAAGAGTAGGCAATCACACTTACTCTGACAGTCATTAATAAAAGTAGTGACAACATTGAAACTGACTGCAAGAGAAATCATGGAAATTGGTTTTCAAATTTAATATAAATAAATATAAGAGCCAGACGGACGGACGGTACCTTCACTGTCTTCTGATGTGCCGTCTCCTGACTCTCCAAATGGATTACTCCTTCTGTGGACGGACACGGACACGGACACACACACACACACACACACACACACAGTATTGAACACCAACCAACAGCTGCTACATTACTAGACAGAACACAAGCTTTCTACCCCAAATACAAACTCTCACTCACACAAATAGTGATACTTTGATCGGGTCAGTACATTTCTGGAAATTTTCCAAAGGAAAACTTCTTCTTAAATATTTCAATATAAAACTAAATCTGTGAACTGACGCTTATGTCGAAAATAAGAGACATGAGGTAGCTTTAGCATCCGTGTCTCTCACACACACACACACACACACACACACACACACCTGCCGGACTGTGCTGCCGTCTTGCTCTGTCCTGAGTTCTCCTCGCTGACGGGGGATATGATGTCAAACTGGATGGGCGTGTCCGGGGCAACCAGGGCGTCCAATGAGAGCACAGAGAGGGCGGGCGACGGCTCGGACCCGACAGAGCTGATGCTGCTCGCTCGCCCTTTACTGGGAGGGAGAGAGAGAGAGAGAGCGAGAGAGAGAGAGAGAGAGAGAG